AAATTAGTCTCATAAACCTCTGGGTCATCCTCTCTGCTTGAATTTAGCCCAGTAAATTCCCTTGTTTGGAAGTCACTGTTTTGTTTGGAAGTCACTGTTTTGTTTGGAAGTCACTGTTTTGTTTGGAAGTCACTGTTTTGAATGCAGCATGTTTTCGTCTTAAGGCACGTGAAGGACACTAGGACATGTACTGAGAAACCTGTCTGCTGCCACCCGCTGACCATAAACACATGTTCACACATGTTCTGCTGGGAATAAACTTGTGGGTACATCAAGCTGGCACTCCAGTAGCAAGACTCTTTACTTACCCTGTACGTGCACAAAGCTCTATCACAACTGTCCCCCTCACCCAAGTGAAGTCACCGATTATTTTAACTTGCAGTTCTATTTCCAGTCTCATGGTGACAAAGTTCAGCATCTCTACAGGCTAAGCTGTTAGAGCCCCCTTTTTTAATACTAACAGTGAAGATGTTGCTCAAGAACATCTTAACCTTGTAAATGGCACAGGGTCTCATCATGAAAACAGTTGCCAAGCGCATACAGGGCAGCAGCCTTATTTGTCACAAAAGAGGCAAACAAACAGATTCAAGTTGTTTCACAAACAGGGCAATGACACAATGCCGAGGCTACAAAATTCCAGAGTAAACCATAATGACTCACAGGCAGGATCTACAAAAATAAAGGCATCGCAGCACCTCCCTCCCTTTTAGATTCTCGATCTTGAGTCTGGGCACAAAGCACTGGGGGGTGTGGTTCTTCCCCCAGGGTGTTCTCACGACCCACGTCAGAGGAGGCCAAGAGTGTGTAGACCCTCTGACAGCTTTAACAGGCCTCTCACCCAAGACCTGGAACCTGTACCCAAACCACGCTCCTACTGCTGACCCCAACCTGGCAGGGCTCAGGGCACTGCTCACCTGGGGAGGTGTCTTCCATTTACTTTAGATGGCCAAGGAGGGCTATTGTCACACGAGGGAACTCTGGTGATGTAGTGGGGTACTCGTTGAGCTGCTAACTCCAAGATCAGCAGTTCAACTCCACCAGGGACTCTGTGGAAGAAACGTGAGGCTTTCTGCTTCCATAAAGATTTACAGCCTCGGAAACTCCAAGGGGAAGTTTGACTCTGCCCTACGCGATGGAATCAACTTGATGGCAATGAATTTGGTAGGGGACTGAGTTTGGATGTTATGTTGTGTTTCTGACCCACCCAGGTGGTTCAAGACCATTCCAGTTTAAAATTCCAATGTGTACCCTTGTCCCATTTCCAATGGGAAAAACAAAACAATCATTTGTCATAAGAATTCAAAGTACAGAAAAGAGTTGTATATTAAAATAGATGACTACAGGAGAAAGATTTGAATTAATATAAAAAAAATAAGCAAGGGTAGAGTTTTATAGCACATACAGCAATATTTAACTAATACCCAATGTTTCTTTAAATAAAAAGTTACTTAGCTCCAGGATGCATGTACATTCCAAGTACAAAATTAAAAGCTTTAGACGACATTCCGTTTGGGGGCCTCTGACGGGATTTTCTCAGCTAATTGTGTCGGGGAAAGAGAGCTTTTGTTACATTCACACGGTACCAGTCCTGAAAATAATTTAAAAGTTGGAATCTGGACTTGGATGCTTCTTGGTGCGGACCCAAACACCCAGATAAGTCTGGCGATTCTGCTTCCATTCCCAAGGTGCTATGGTAGGGCTACCACAGCGTCCTTCTAAGAGGAAGAGAGAAAAAAGCAGTTACCAGAAAAGCCAGGTACATCCTTCTCTTTCTGAGTGTAGGTCTCAGGACATTGGTCTTTTCCTTGCACAGTGTGCAGCCAGACATACTCGGTGTTACCGATAGGGGCTGTTGAGCCAGCTCCAACTCAGAACGGCCCGTGTACCACAGAATGCAACCCTGCCCCGTCTTGAGCCCTCCTCACAGCTGGCACTATATTTGGGCTTGTTGCACCCACTGTTGTCAAAGCACCTGGTGGGAGTCTTCCTCTTTTTAACTGACCCTTTACCAAACAGGATGTCCTTCTCCAGGGACTGGTCCTTCCAAGTACATGAGGCAAAGTGTTACCAATCCTCACTTCTAAAAGGCATTCTGACTGGACTCCTTTCAACACAGGTGTGCTTGGGCAGTTCGTGGCATATTCAATATCCTTCACCAACATCATAATTCAGAGGCATCGATTCTTCTTCAATCTTCCTCATTCGTCGTTCTGCTTCAGCTTTCGGATGAGGCAACTGAAAATAACATGATTTGGGGCAGGTGCACCTTAGTCTTCAAATTGACACCTGTGCTCTTTTAACACTTTTAAAAAGAGGCACTTTTTTCCAGAAGATTTCCCAGGTGGAATGTGTCCTTTGATTTTATTGACTGCTACTTCTATGGGCATGGATTGAAATCATCGTCATCTTCGATCTTTTCTTCATTGATCATCATGTTGGTTATTGCCCCCCACCACCACCACAATATACTATACACTATCTGTACATAATATGTATGACTCTCAGTAGATCTTATTCTGGGCAGATGTGGCAGTTACATAGCTACTGTCAACTTTAAGAAGGGGTGGAGTCTAGGCTTTCAATCAGGTATGAACCAATGGTGCCTCTGCGTGGGCATGGCCTTCTCCTGAGGATTCTGGGAACTCCCATCTTCCCCGCTGAAGGTGGGACACACACTCTCCCTGCAAGACATTCCTGTTGATGAGCCTCGTGGAGCTAAGCTAATGGAACCAGAGCCCTGGAGATGGAGGAGCCACGTGGAGATCATGCCAGCACTGAGATGCTTCAACCTCCACTGGATTCACAAGACTTTCCACCCACTGGTCTGTGATCTTCCTGCACTCGGCATCATTGCATGTGTTGTGTGAGTCTAAAGAGGAATTTATGGTCTGGTATCAGACATACGGGCTAATATCAGACTTATGGACTTGATCTGGACTAGGCTGGGATGTTTTCTTAATATACAATTGCTCTTTTATATAAAGCTCTTTTCTATACATATATGAGTCTCCCTAGATTTGTTTCGAAAGTCTACCCAGGCTAACACAGACTGGATGAGACACTGGTGAGGATGTTATAGAGCACTATTCAGATGTTTGTCATATTAATATTCTATTATTAGGACAGTAATAATAAACAAAGCACCCACTCTCAACTAGTGGAAGGAGAAAAAAAAGGTTGGCACAGATTCAGACATTTACAAAGGAAAGCTTAAAGTGAAAGACTCCATTTTAGAAGCCCTAACGAGAGGAGTGTTACTTAAACGAGAACTTTCCAGAGGACATACAAGATCTCTTTGGTGCTTACTTACAAAGAGAAAATTGTGCCAAGTATGTGAATGACAGCTGCCCACCTATGGCTTGGTGAACCCTCTGTCTGAGCACCACTGGACAAAATGTTGCTGTGCAGCGTACAGACTCTTCTTCTCCGTCTTCTTGCAGTACACGCGGATCAGCTGCTCGGCAAACCTCTCGGGCAGAAGCTGCGAAACCTTTCCAGGGAGAAAA